TATTACGCAATTTTACTAAAAATTCGTAAGGCTCTGCGGAGGAGAGTGTTATTGCACGCTAAGCCCGTCAGCAACTGAAATTACGTAATAAGTTCCGAATATTGAGAATATCCGGTGCTCTCTGACCAATCAGGAACGAGAATACATGCTAAATGTATAATAATTATACTTAAAAGTTATACAAACCTTGATTGGTAATATAGATTATATACTAGTTTACCCACAGGGTAGTGAATGCTGCCTTGGTATAGCATTGTTCCCAAGTAACACGCGCTCAAAACTATTAAATGCGTATAATATACCACATGAGAGATTATGACTAAAATCAAAATTTTTATTTTTCGATACGTTTCTCAATCGGTAAAAATAACTTAAAAAGTATGTTTAGTGCTTTATCTGTAAAATAATGCTAAAATGAAGAGATTTTAGATGATACGCCAAAGAGACAATGATGTCTGAAGTTCAGTACGTTTTGCTTAAATGGCTGTAAATATAGCGTCAATTTTAAGGCATCATTGATAAGTGTATTTTAATTGGCAATTTTTAACTATTATTTTATGTTTCTCAACCGGCAGACGAATTTAAAAAGGTAGCTAACTCTATAAACTGTAGAGAATAAAGCTAAAACAAAGTAATTTTGAGAGAAACGCCAAAAAGATTTTAGGTTTTGAACACTTTTCATTGCAAATACGTGACATTGAAAAAAAATTGCAAAATTGCTTCTTAATATTTTAAAGAATAAGAGTAAGAAATATTCGTAATGAATTAGAATCATCCATAATTTATACACTTGAATGTGCCGTATGATAACTCGGCGCTCGAAGTTTCGTATCGAAAGAGGAACAGCCGAACAGGTACGATGGCTAACAAGAATGAGTGTACTTATCAACTTATCTAACGCGAGGAAAAGATCAAAATGGCAGGTATGGCTGTGATATCTAGTATATAAAATTGTATAGACAATTTGCCCACAAATACGGTGCTAGGTCAAAACGGCCCAAAGTCAAAACGGCCCAAAGTCAAAACGGCCCAAAGTCAAAACGGCCCCGCTTCAATAATCATATGATTTAGCCCAGGGGTTAAAGGGCAATGACAATGACATGCAGGTGACATTTAACATGTGCGAGTGTGCGTCTCACTAAATTTGCGTGTTTATAATAATGTTTATCAAAGAAGGCAAAAATATATACTAGACAACCTCACATGTGAAATCTGTTCACTGACGCACTGCGTTGTGATGCAGTACAAGTACAAATACAAATGACAAAGCATTTTTAAAGGCTTTAAATCCTAAAACATAATTAAATCATACGGCACATTCAAGATTTTAATATCGTATTTCAGCCGCGTTTATACTGCTTGGCGCGCATTTGTTGCGTTATATTAATTTATATACCTATATGTTATATACACAGATTTATCACTAATAAATCAACACTATATGATAATATATAAGAACTCACAAAGTGCAGTCACCTTTTTATAAATAAACCTTTTTAAAAGCATGTCATTGTGACATTGTCATTGCAGACCAGAGGCAAAAAGCACAGCCACATAGGCCTACCAGATTTATTAAGCAATCGTGAGATTATATACATGGAAAGAATATGGAAATTATGTTAAAAGCACCCCGTATAATGACGAAAGCACCGCGTATAATGCTCGAACCACTGCGTATAATGGCGAACGCACCGCGTATAATGGCGAAAGCACCACGTATAATGCTCGAACCACTGCGTATAATAGCGAAACCACCGCTTATAACGCTCGAACCACTGCGTATCGACAAAATGCCGTTTGATCACTTACGCCAGCTAGTTTCCATAAAAGAAAACCAAAGATGAAAGATGATCACATTGCTTATTTGCCTTATGCCTGTTTATTAGGCAAGAATAGCCTGCCGGCCCGGAAGCAGTGCATTGTGGTAGGCCGAAATACGCCGAAACGATCGAGATTTCATCTGCCTTATATATATATACATATACATAAAGATTAGGACTGCTGCCTCGCTCGCTCGCTTCACGCTCGCTCGCTACGGCAGCAATCACATTAATATTTCAATCTATCTTTATCTGACTTCGTCGTTGATATTAAAATCTCCCAGGTCGTAAAGAGAAACTCACTATATACATTTGTTCTCTAACACAGATCATGCATGCAGTGTTATACATTAACAACTGGGAACTAATAAAGTTTCTTCTTGTCCAATATTTACTATGATAATCACGACAATGGATTTGGCTCGTAAACTAAACTAACTAAACTAAGTAAAATAATACATTGACATATTCCATCATATATACATGTGTCCCACTCTGACATTTTTTAGATTTGTTTCAGTATGAAATGGCACGAGTACAGAGATTAATAATGTATAATTAATCCGGCAACTGTTTAATATTACAAATTTTCCTTTTTTATCTTCAAAACGGGGAATCCAGATTCCTCGAATCCCTGATTCCAGATGCCAGAACTCAGTAGACAATAGAGTTCAAGTTCAATTCCCGGATGCCCAGACTAACAATCTTTATTAATATATTTCTTTCCTTTGACCTTTGGCTTTGTCCAAGTACTTGTGCTTGACTGTTTTGCCAATATTCAATAATAAACTATATGCCAACGTGTCAAAAATGCTGTTCTGCATGTTGGTACACGTTTATATGGTTATAGCCCGGTATTATATACGGTTACACTTACATAACTGAGTCGGCCATTCAGTTTATCATAAATCTTATTTCTTGCAATTCGAGACCTCGGTTGCAAAGGCGGTGAAATATAAATTATTATTGTCGGTATAGCAGGATACTTTGCTGTAGCGATGTGGCGAATAGTTCACCACAATTTTGAACACTAGAATGTAGTCAGTAGCAAACTACATTTTTTCCGAAGTACCAGCGGTTAGTTATAACAAACAACAAAAGTCTTGTATTGAACAGCAAAATCCTTGCTTGCCAGCGTGATATTGAAACTTGATAGCACTTCATACTTGTCATGACTCACTGAAATTTGAAAACAATTATGTGAGTATTATGTGACCGTGTACGTAATAGCATATGTATGATTTTTCCCAAAAGTTTATGAATTTCTGTGAGAAAAAATTAATTAAGAAGTACGCTGTGATTTCACATCTGAGTGCATGACACAGTCAATGAAACTGAAACAATAGATCGAAAGAGGAAATCAATAATCAACTTCCGATAATTACGCCGTATTCTGAGTCACAAGACATCGACTTAGTTCTTTGAATTGGTTGTGGTGGGCAAGGTTGCTTTGCTGTCGGGATACGTTTTATTAAGCGAAGCTGATGTCTATATGTAGTAGCTATATCTAAGAGTATCCTATGATGGCAAAATTCGTGTTACAATTACAAGTGATCGTCATCGTATTGACATTCTTTCTCATTGTGATCGACCATTATGTATGTGGTGCCAGTGAACATGTACGTGTCTACAGAGGCGACAACGATATATTTGAAAACCCAAATCATGCGAACTGTACGGCCAGGAATGCTATCACATTTCTTGATACGAATTCAGGATGTTCTCGATGTAGGTGCTTTGGCCAATACAAGACATATCTTCATTCTTTTGACAGATGTGTGAGGGATAATGAGCTGTCATTCTTACCAGGTAGGTCTATTCGAACGTATATTCATTCAAGCAGTGTTTCTTGTAATTTCCTCTCTTTGAACTTCGTTTTACTGGGAAAGAAAAACGAAACAAACCACTACGGACAGTATAATTATCTGGGAGCGATTATAGAATACCCGGCCACTTTTGAATTTTGATAGTGTTTATACGCAGTCAAATAAAATGACGTAATTATTCGAGTAATTAAGAGGAGAATTGGTAACTATTATATTTCAATGATACGGGGATATGGGGATACGCAGTCAAATAAAATGACGTAATTATTCGAGAAGTTTAATAAGAGGAGAATGGGTAAATTAAGAGGAGAATTGGTAACTATTATATTTCAATGATACGGGGATATGGGGATACGCAGTCAAATAAAATGACGTAATTATTCGAGAAGTTTAATAAGAGGAGAATGGGTAACTATTATATTTCAATGATACGGGGATACGCAGTCAAATAAAATGACGTAATTATTCGAGAAGTTTAATAAGAGGAGAATGGGTAACTATTATATTTCAATGATACGGGGATACGCAGTCAAATAAAATGACGTAATTATTCGAGAAGTTTAATAAGAGGAGAATGGGTAACTATTATATTTCAATGATACGGGGATACGCAGTCAAATAAAATGACGTAATTATTCGAGAAGTTTAATAAGAGGAGAATGGGTAACTATTATATTTCAATGATACGGGGATACGCAGTCAAATAAAATGACGTAATTATTCGAGAAGTTTAATAAGAGGAGAATGGGTAACTATTATATTTCAATGATACGGGGATACGCAGTCAAATAAAATGACGTAATTATTCGAGAAGTTTAATAAGAGGAGAATGGGTAACTATTATATTTCAATGATACGGGGATACGGGGATACGCAGTCAAATAAAATGACGTAATTATTCGAGTAGTCTAAAAGGAGAATGGGTAACTATTATATTTCAATGATACGGGGATACGGGGATACGCAGTCAAATAAAATGACGTAATTATTCGAGTAGTTTAAGAGGAGAATTGGTAACTATTGTATTTCAATGATACGGGGATACGCAGTCAAATAAAATGACATAATTGTTCGGGTAGTTAAGAGCAGAATTGGTAACTATTATATTTAAATGATACGGGGATACGGGGATACGCAGTGAATAAAATGACGTAATTACTCGTGTAGTTTAAAAGGAGAATGGTTAACTATTATATTTCAATGATACGGGGATACGGGGATACGCAGTGAATAAAATGACGTAATTATTCGAGTAGTTTAAAAGGAGAATGGGTAACTATTATATTTCAATGATACGGGGATACGGGGATACGCAGTGAATAAAATGACGTAATTATTCGAGTAGTTTAAAAGGAGAATGGGTAACTATTATATTTCAATGATACGGGGATACGGGGATACGCAGTGAATAAAATGACGTAATTATTCAAGTAGTTTAAGAGGAGAATTGGTAACTATTGTATTTCAATGATACGGGGATACGCAGTCAAATAAAATGACGTAATTATTCGGGTAGTTAAGAGCGGAATTGGTACGGGGATACGGGGATATGCAGTCATTAAAATGACGTAATGTAGGTTGTGTTTGACGTTTTGAGAGAGGCACTGGGTAAGTAATATGAGTAATATTTGAGCGGGATTTATTGAGAACGAGAAATACAATATATGAGTAATATTTTGTGCGGGGTTTATTGAGAACGAGAAATACAATATATGAGTAATATTTTGTGCGGGGTTTATTAAGAACGAGAAATACAATATATGCATGCATGAGTAATATTATGCATGAGTAATATTTATTTTGTGCAGAGTTTATTAAGAACGAGAAATACAATATATGAGTAATATTTATTTTGTGCGGGGTTTATTGAGAACGAGAAATACAATATATAAGTAATATTTTGTGCGGGGCCTATTGAGAACGAGAAATACAATATACGAGTAATATTTTGTGCGGGGTTTATTAAGAACGAGAAATACAATATATGCATGAGAAATGTTGAGTTTGTGCGAGTAATTTATTTTGTGCGGGGTTAAGAACGAGAAATCCAATATATGAGTAATATTTATTTTGTGTGGGGTTTATTGAGAACGAGAAGTACAATATATGAGAAATATTCAGTGTGCGGGGTTTATTGAGAACGAGAAATACAATATATGAGTAATATTTTGTGCGGGGTTTATTAAGAACGAGAAATACAATATATGAGTAATATTTTGAGCGGGGTTTATTGAAGAACGAGAAATACAATATATGAGTAATATTTTGAGCGGGGTTTATTGAAGCGTGGTTTATTGAGAACGAGAACTGATACAATATATGCATGACGATTCTCCGTTTATTTAAAAATACCGGAACATTCGAATAATTACGTAATTTCCTTCACTGCGTATCACCGTATCCCCGTATCATTGAAACTTAATATTTACCCAGTCCCTTTATTTAAAAAACCCAAACACTCGAATAATTACGTCATTTCATTCACTGCGTATCACCGTATCCCCCAAAAATGAACAGTATCAGAAATGGACGGGTATTCTATAATCTAGCCATTATCTGAACGTGTGTAAGTTAGTATCACATAGACTTAATGTAACACGGAAGTTGTTTATTACTGGTTATATATAATTTGTTTTGCAGAGGAGTCGAGTTTGTCTGGTAAAACAAGACAAACATTCTAGAATCCACAAAATTTCGATAGAGATTATATGGTTTCCGTGTTTGGATGGCCTGATCCAAACATGCGGGAATGTTGCGAGAGTTAAGAAAAGCGCGCGAAACACGAGCCGAAGGCGAGTGATTTTGCGCGCTTTTCTTAACTCGAGCAACATTCCCAAGTCCAAACACGGAAACCATAAAGTAATTGTTTTATAAAATAACAACACGATAGTCTTCCGTGTTTGGATGGCCTGATCCAAACACGGGTTTCGACCAAT